ATGGAAAACAAAAGTTTAAAATAAAAAAAATTAAAAGTAGTTAATCGACATTAGACACAAGGATTACGAGGAAGACACGGGCATTGTCCGTTGGAGACAGTTTGCCATTTTCGAGTTTTGTCGTGGTCCCACTTTACGGTTGACCGTTTTCATTTCGTACGGGTCGTTGAATCATTTTGTCTGCAGACAAATATTTGTTTTAACCCTCGTTTGAGCCCATTCTGCAAAAACAAAAAAATAAAAAATAAAAAAATTCTTAAATAGTAATTTTTGGAAAATGTATGATTAAAAAATAAAGAAATTTTTTCGATTTACGAAATAAAATTATTTTATTAGACAATGCGTGATTAAAAAATGACCGACCGACTACCCACCGTTTGAAATGGATCAGATTTTTATTCTAAAAAAAGTTGATCTCATTTCAGTAAAGTGTTGTTGCTCGCATATAAGACAAATACGTGTCCACAAGCATGTGATATGGCCTGCCTAGTTACAGTAATGCATATGACTACGAAATTTTTGGGATAATATAAAGAACTGACGAAGCGACACTTTTTGAAATTGTTCTTATGGGTTTCATACTTTATAAATGCTATCGATATTATAACTAAGCTCTCGTTTGAGTCCATTTTTTAAATAATTATTTTTAATCATATATTATTCAATAAAATAATTTTACACGTAAAACGAGATTTTTTTTTTTTACTTTTAAACCACGTATTTTTCAAAAAATCACTATTCAAAAATACTTTTTTTCCTGATATGAAATACGTTCGATCCCGATATGATTGAACAGTGGATTCTTCATAGTGTTCATGCCAAATGAATGAACACTCTTTTCTTCAAATTATACCTGTTTGAATGAAAAAGCACTCCCGTGTACACACCCCTCACAAGAGGGGGGTCCACGGTGATTAAAATAATTGTTGGCCTCACAAGCGTTGACCCCCCTCTTGTGAGGGAAGGGGGCGTGTCCGTGTACGAGTAGCAAAGTTCTGTTCAATTTCTTATTAAAAAAACGTGTACGATCAAAGATGCTCACATTACTAATCTACTCAAAATAAACCAGCCTCGAAGCCCAAATCAAATTAAATATAACACGAAATCCAACAATACTAACTGAAATTTATTAATTATGAACATTAGTAGATGTGTCTATTAAAGGGATTTGGACTTTGAAGGGAATGAATGGGTCCCCAAAAGGAAAAATCATTTCTTGAGAGGAAATTATGCATTTTCGAGATGTGCGTGCTCCTTAATCAGACGTTCAAATGGATTTCACTTGAGTAGGTTGAAAAAAGATATATAACCTTGGTCATTAGAACAACTTTCCACACGATATGACTTGTGCTCGTTTAGATTCTTTAAATTCTATGGGGTTGAATCGGCGAAAGCCAAAAATACGATGAATAGAAGGAAAGGAGATCAAAAAGATATGCGAACAACTTGACTATAGTATAAATCGAATGTTTTCGTGAGCAATAATCAGCGAATCTCCCCTTATTTTGGGAAAGCAGAGGTTCGCACATGAACTCTTAAGACAAGACGGCCTGATTCGATATTGTTGTTTACTTTGATTTTGTTGAGATGTTTTTTTGTTTTACCAGCACGGAGATGGTCTAACTTCCTATGACTAAAAGTTTAATAAATAGATCCAATACATTTAAATTTTAAAATCAGGGGTGGGGGCAGCTACACCGACGCAAATTCCGCGTCCGCCCATGGTGAGGTGCGTGCATGCATGCAATATTGACTCGATAGCGCCTTTTCACATTGGAAATTTAGTTCCCCGATGAACAGTTTGGTCAATAAAGTTAAAAGTTTAAAAAAAAAAAAAACATTGAATTCTAAGGAAAAAGTAGCATTTATTTTATTAATTACACTAAAGGCATAAAACGGTAGGTATTATTATGCCTATGTTTGTCTACCATTATCTAAAAAATTATTTTCTACAGTAAACAATAATGCTTTTAGCCCTTTTGTCTACCATTATTTCAAAAAATTATTTGTTACAGTAAAATTCTCCACCACACATTCACCCAATAAAATATTCTACACACAAACCAATAAAGTTACTTTAAATTTTAACCACACATTCTTCAAAAAATACTATTCATTATTCCATTTTTCTCCCTATAATGGTAGACAAACAGGCTTATATTGTACTAGGACTATCACCGAATTGTAACAACCTCAAATTATTTTCAGAATCTTGAATTCTCCACACAATATATGATATCATACAAACTAATAGGTACCAAAAATTGGAAACACTTGACTACCCATATTTGATCTTGACAACTTGTCTGATGTCTATTATTTTTAAAATATATTTTTCTCTCTCTTATTTCAATTACGTGTTTTTCAATAAAATAATATCATACACAAATCTAAAATTTTCCTTATTTTTTCAACTTTGCCCCTGTTTGGTGCACATTTTGGAAGTAATAATGAATTTTTACTGTTGATATGATGGGGAATATGTGGTTGAAAAAGAAGGAAAAAATATTGATATAATGAAAAATATTATTTTATTGAAAAATGTGTAATTTAAAATGAGTAGAAGAATAAGAATGAGAAAAATAATGTGGATCAAACTGGGACTATATATTCTCTATCAAAATACTATTTGAAAATGCATTTTTATCAAAAAAAATGGGGTTCAAAGAGAGTCTAAATTTAATAGTAGAAGTGACTTGGCCTCCAATCTTTTAAATTAAACTTGAAGGGAAATTTGGAAATAATTCTAAAATTAGGATTTTTTATAACGGCGTTCATAATTAAGTGCCTGTTTGACACATCAAATTAATTTATGATTCGTTACACGATCATTTTCAATCACAAATCCACAATAAAATATTCTATACGTATACAAAAAAGTTTTCTTCTACTACATTCAACGGAGATTGGCCCTTCAAGATGGAAACTTTAACATCTTAATCTCAAAATGCAGTGCATCTTCTTCTCGATCACATTCTTCATTCAAAATGTTTCAATTTTCAATGTAGGAANTTCATTCAAAATGTTTCAATTTTCAGTACAGGAAAATAATAAAATAATCTAAAAAAAAGCTAGTTAATATAAAAGATAAAGAAAAATAATAAATATTTTTTTGGAAGTAGTGAAATTAAGTGTTAAATATAAAGAGTTTGTTGGAGTATTTTCAAAATCTTAACTTTCTGAATTTATAGATGATCTCCAAATGATAGAATACGTTTTTTAAAAATACAGAGTTTATTGAAGATGCTATTATACTGTTTATATACTGACCAGCATAAGCATCTAGTTTTCATATATATGTCTGGTTTGAGAAGGAAAGAGTTTTGGTCGGTTAGTGGTTAGATATACGGTGTGAGAAAGAGACTTGGCAACTACCATTACCTAATCCCATCTTACGTACTCTCACAGTTAAAAAGATTTAGTGCAGCAGTAGGTTGAGACAACCCACATGGGATACCCCACTTTCTCTGATCCCCCTCTTCCACGGCTCCATCATCTCTTAGTACATAGCAGAATAAAAAACCAACGGCCCAGGAATTAATAATTCATGAATAGTAGAGTCACAAGACTCACAATTCGTGTGCAGTCAGCATAAGTTAACCGTTTGAGTTTGCTCTCGGGAGAATAAAGCTGGCCGCAGCTTAAAATTTACACTTTATTCTTGGATGCTCTATCCATCAAACTTTATTCGTCAAGATTTTTATATTTGGCACTTGATCGATGGATGATATGTTCCTTTATTTTCCTCGACATGCTCATTTACATTAATGAGTTTCATTGAGAAGAATGCTCACTAATTTCTTAGGGTACGTAATCGAAGTTCTGATGTGTTGATGAAGCACAACTGCTACATGCTGTTGATTTTAGCACCATGGAAACTTTGCAAAAGATTTTACCATTGCAGCGTTCTTGAACTTCTTGTATCAACATTGCAACATTTCGTTAGTCTTCATTGCTTGATGAAGATCGCTAATTGGGACCTAACATGTTCAAGAACTCGTTCATCTTCCTTTTTAGCAATTAGATATATGTAACTTCTACCATCCTTTTTCTAAGTTCAACTGTTTGCTCAAGCAGTTGATCTATGCCCGACTTTGATATCAAATATTACACGAGCTGTGTCTATCATGAAAAATAAAATTAGATAGAAGAGAATGATGAATTGGATATGTTACTCGAGGAAACCTAGACCCCTCAAATTAGTTTCGATTTTTGTGGAACTAAAAACCTCCAAATACGACTCGAAGTTGCAAATTTTTTTAATTAATTAATGCTATTTAGTCCCATTGTTTAACACCCGTTTATGTGACAACATATTTGACTTAAAATATAAATTCATAAACCGTGCTATATGTACCGATCATAGCTCATATGTGTAATAATGAACGTCGACACAAAGAAAGTACTGCAATTCCATTGATCTGACTAAATAGTGCTATTTGTGTAATTTTCAAAATTTCAGTGACAGTGGGTGTTCCACAAAGATGGTTGGATGGAAGAAAATTTGAATTTGATACATCGTCAAGGTTGAAGGAAGACAACATGGTAAGTCCTAAATAAACCCGTCGCTAATTCTTAATCACTAATTGGATTGGGACATATGTAAAAATGTAATGTCATTTATCACGTTAAACGATATTAAATGATAAGTATAATATAGAGAGATGTTATTTGGCCTGGCTCAAAGCCAGGGCCAAATACAGGGCGCCGAGGTGGCGCCCCATCATTGGAGGGGGGCCACATCAGCGCCCTGTTCTTGCCCCTGGCTTTGAGCCGGGCCAAGAAGAATAATTCTATAGTATATCATGGGTTATATATGTCCCAACATTTAGTTATCAATAACGACAAATAGTATTAGTTCATAATCATCCAATATTGATAATAGAAGTTAACGTTTCAAAATAAAAATAAATGCATAAAAGTATGATCGCCAAAAACACCCGTAAAAATAAAAGTTCGAAAAATGTAATACATAAAAAATGCACAATTAATTATTTAACTTACGAGAAGAGAGCTGTGTAAAGAAGTTCATTCCACGTATCCGGGACTCCTGCTAGACACCAATGGGTGCAATCTACTCCTTGACCAGCTGAGGCCGGGTGCCCATCTATTCTTAGCTGTGACAAGGTAGTAACGTTGAGCAAATAGACTGGTTTGGACATTGCTTTTAGTACTTTCTCCAGTACAAATTCTGCTGGATGAGGATCCCCTGGATTTCGCAGTGGTTGCGTTTGGTTCTGGCAGTTCGTGGCATTTATGTACGGCATGCTGAGTTTGTAAATTCAAAACAAAACGAGCATGAGCCAGTGCAGGAAGAAAAATATTCGTTAGTAAGATTGTTCGAGAAGATATTTTACCTGGCATGATCTGGAGAAACCCCTTGAAAGAACACTTTTGTCTTTGTTGGATCTACATTAGAGTCTACCCATTTCGCCCATGTATTCAGTGCTATCTCATAAAGAGACAAACGATCCATGTCTTTGAACGTAGTATTCCCATACTGAATCATGTCCCAACTGAACAATTAGAAAAATTAATCAACTCATGTTTAGACAACATATTCCAAATAAAAACCTATTTAAACGTACTTGATATGTTAGACTAGACATTAATAACATGATCAATACACGACCATGCACGCTAAAATTTGATTCAACCCAAGTACTGTTTTGTGCAGAGCCGAACTAAACAAAAAATTGTTTGTTACTTTGTCAAATCTATTGAGAGTGGCCGGCTCATCTCGTGTTTGGCTTAGTTTATAAGATACATTAAAGACGTACTTTTAAGAATTTTTTTGTTTATAAACATGTTGGGATAGATGGTTTTTTTTTTTTTTCACCTATAAGGAAGATGCTTATTTGATACTAAGGCAACGATTAGTTTAAAATAAGTAACTTATTTTAAACTTTAATTAGAAATAAAAATATTATTTTAAAACAATCTTATAACTTGTTTGCCTTTGAAGTTTTGTACTTGCTATTAACTTATAATGTACTGAAAATATTTTAAGAACAATGCTACGCGTACACGATTTTAAAATCATGTACTTGCCAGACAACTCACAATGTAAGTGGGTGGGATGAGATTTTTGTCAATATATTAATC